TGACATGACCAGGACCAGCTCCTTGCTCCTGGAATTATTTTCCACATCTGAAGTCAAACACGTCGATCGCCAATTGTCCTCTTCACTCATCTACGGACTTGATGACTTCCCTATTTACTTACTGGATGACTGTCATCCTTGTATCAAAGGACCATTGACAACGATCACAAGAACAAGATAACCTTGAAGCAGACTCCCAATAGGGAAAATTTTAGCCTGTACGATTAAAGTCTAATAAAAGTTATAAGCAACTGAAAACAGGGTTTTCCAATGCAGTGGGAACCAAACTTTTTGGCAGACATTCCACACATTAGTTCTGCACTCTCTCCAAGTGCCAATAAGATCCCCTTCCCCTGTCTGATCTGATTCTCAGATTTTTGCTCCCTGCCCAATCTGCTGCCCTGCTTCCTGCTCCATCTGGTGCCTTGCTGTCTGCCCCCTCCTTGGTCCACTGTGCACTACACACAGAAGCTGACCATGCTACTTGTGGCACACATGCCACAAGTTAACCACCCCAGTTCTAATGGAAAGTGTTGGACAATAGACTGGCCTCGCCTATAATTTGGAACCTACCAAATTTGTAATTTTGTGAGTTCTGTGAAATCCAGGGGATGCCTGCGAAATCCACTGGGGAAAAATAAACTTTCTAAAAAAAACAAAATGTTGGCTTCTCAGAGGGAGCCAGCAGTCCTCACTGCACTGTGGCAGCCAATCAGGGTGGACAAGGGGGGACTGCCTGTTCAAAGGGCTGTAGGCAAGACGGCTGCCACCCTCCGCACCTTGCAACTGTTGGCTGTGAGGATTGCCCATCATGTGGCCCCATAAGAAGTGGAGCTGCATGACAGACAGCTCTTGCAGCCAATCAGTGGCAAGGGGCAGGGCCACGTGATAGGCAGCCCTTGCAGCCAATCAGCGGTGAGGGGCAGAGCCAATGCCCCCCCTCAACCAGAGGCGTGAGGTAGCCCCACCACACTTTGCCTGCAAAATGGCTGTTTGGGCCCACATTCTGCCTATGAAATCAGGGGGTACCCCCTCCCCTCCCAATTAAGTAGGTCCCTACCTATAACATACCAATATATTTTTTCAGTTGTCAGTCCTGTTTTTAATCAACATACCAGGCTCTTGATAAAATGCTAGTGAATAGCAGGAAGTACGACTATTTACAATAGCGGTGTGTATAATATAAAGAACCCAGTGAAAAGTTAGTTTAAAATCAATACTCTTCAGTTCTGAGAATATGTTGAATCTTCAAAACTTACCTGTTCATGTGTGTTAATGTTTGATCAAATGAATGTTCTCCAATCCTTTTATTACCAGAAAGATCTCTACCACCACTTCCAGTGTAAGTAAATTCATCGCCTCGGTCCTGTGTGAGAAGAGTATCTTGTTTTAACATTTCAAATTCAAGTATTGGACCCGAGAAACCACTGCATTATTAGTCCTATTTGCTCAGAAAAACTGCCTGAAGCCCACTGTGTACTCCATCTCAGAACAGCTCTATATATAGAAAATTATGTCAACAGGAAGCTACTTGTTTCTACATTCTGTACTCATCGGGAACTGATCATAAAACACAAAACTCTTACCTTCTAAAAAGTGGACTCGTTTTTTTGTTTTGTTTTTTTAAGAAACGTAATATTGCTTGGAGATGGAAGAATAGACGTATCTAAATTATAGCATTTAAATATTCCAGCTTCATGAGATTAGTTTCATAGGAGATGTATTTGCAAAATATAAATTGCAATATAAATTGCAAAATATAAAATGTATTTGCAAAAAATATAAATATTGTAACTGATTTAGGACTCAATTCTGCAAGATATTAATCTGGCAAAGCATTTAAGCAGATATACTTGCATTGCTGGATCAGGTCCAGAATGTTCCAGCCCACATTTGAATGAGGTTGGTAACAGAGCTTCATTAACTTAGATAATCTCTAAAACGTACTTTCGGCTATATTAAATGCTGTAACATTTCATAAATATTTCTTTCATAAAACTCTTAAAGACTGCTATCTTTATACCATGCTACCATTATACAAATGGGCACATTTATTGGCATCCACTTAAACAGTATATGGGCCCTCTCCAAAAGCATTTTTATAACATAGGCTAAAGGAACCAAAACAGTAGTATGTAAGCTATTATAAAGCAGTTGTATAACTATAGCACTGTGTCTCTTCCTCTTTTCTTTTCTCAAAGTTAGTTTTAGTGCCATGCCTGAATTTAGCTCCTCAGGGCAGATGTCCTCTCTCTACTACTTCTACTACTACTTTGGGGGAAATCAAAATATCACATAATAATGGACTGCCATATGTTTAGTATCCTGTAGTTGGAGTACTGAAAGTTTAGAAGGATGTACATGAAGTAATTAAAAATGTAAGCCTTTGCCTTGTTTGACCGAAAGCAAAAGACCTGAGATGAGATCAGAATGTTTTGGTGCTTTGAATTATGTTAGTATTCTAAAGTGGCCTTTGGTGGATGGGTTATTTCGGACTAGGAAATATTCATAAAAGTAGTGCCCAAGAGAGTGCAGACTATTTTTTTTCAATGTTATTAATTTTAAATGTAGTAGTATACCTTTGTATTGTATTTCACATATGAATGTTTTGTATTGATAGAACAAATTCTGCTCAAGGATCTTAAAGCAGTTCCAACCTTTACTGAATTAAACCTGAACCATTTTAGGTGAGGCCTCATTGAATTTTACTAATAAATTAATAAATAAAATAATTAGTGTATATGATCTAAGAGCCTTAAAGTCTTAGCAAGAATAATGCCATAATACTGCTGACCACAGATCTAAGAAACAATGGATTTTTGAGTGACTGACATACATAAGTATCCATAAAAAGTCAATACTGGATCAATTGGAGGCAGCTTTTTATTTTTATTTTAATATTTCTTAACTAGAAAGTGTCAAGATTAAATTATTTTATTTAATTTATTTGCTATCTTTTACTCTACATAAAATACCGATTTTTTTTAAAACCGCTTATGACCCACAACAGTTAAAATGCTGTTTACTTTTGTACTGTAGATAAAAAAAAATGGCTGCTGTTAGTGCAGTAAAAGCACAGTTCAGGAATGCAGTTTCAACATGGTCCAGTATGAATGACTACAAGATCCAACTGTGTTTTACTTGTTTTAGGGGCATATCACATTTTAACAGAATGCACCCAGCATTACAGGATTAAAAATGCAAAAAAGGACCTACTGCCCATATCTGTTAAAAAAAAAAGTTCTCATTTTATTAATACTGAGATTTCCAAATTTAAGAGCTACCATAGTGTATAAAGGAATCAAAGTTATTTAGACATACCAGTACAGTACCTTTAAATCAGCATAGTTATAAGTGACCCTTATTCTGGTAATACATCTGCATACAACAAGATATCACCCTGCATACCACTAGTGCTAAAGTACCAGTTTAAGAATCATTCTGTCATTACAACCCTTAAAAAATATAGACTGGACTAAAAGACAACTGGTGGTAGACTTATTTTGAAGAGTGGACAACTTTTAAATGTCTAGGGACTACTTGTGCAATTCCACTAACTTCACTGTTGTAGTATAAAAAAAGAAACAGCATTATAACTGGCAGAAGATGTAGATTAGCACTATCACTTGTGTAAGAAAACGGTATATTTAATCACTATATTTGTATGGGTAGTTGCTCTTCAGTAGGTGTGCTCAAAACTCAAAGTACAAAATAAGAGGTGTTTAGAGCTCTAAGTTTATGATTTTGGCTTTTTTTTTTATGAAGTTGTATTTAAAAAAGTTCTTCTATCTTCTCCCCTTCTCTTCCCTCAAACAATTTTACTTGTTGAGAACTCAGAGGGCCTCTTACAATCAAGTGTGGAGCCATACAGTTTGCAGGTAAATTCTGGAATGAATATGGTACTGAAGTTGCACAGCTGTAGCTGTGATGATCCAGAGCACATTCACAAAGCTAGATTTGTAAGGTAAGGCAATATTACTTATTTGACCAACTTTATAGTTAGGAGAGATGTTAGATGTACCATTTATTTCCTAACAAGGAATTTTGTCTCACTGAAGTGACAGTGATCTAAATACTGTACTGACACAAACCTTAAAAAATAAAGGAAGTATACACACACTTAGGCTCATACATTACTTTTTAAAAAAAAAAATCTTAAAGGATACACAATACCAATGAAAAATTATATCCACACATTTTTAACAATATAAAGATACATTTAATAAAAGCTTTCTTTTCAAAATATGAACCTTTCACAAGGGATGAAACAATGCTACGGGATCAATTCTTAAAGAGGTAATTTTCACTAACGATTTTCAGACCAAAAATCTAAACACACGGGTATAATTTAATAGTGAATTTCTTACCACCACTGACTATTTGGCATCACAACAGAAGTGGAAAAAATGCATTGCAAGACTAATGTCGTTAAATTATGATAATCCTTGGTAATCGCAGTTAGTAACAGCAGAACAAGAATAATGTCATGAGAGAAGGATTCTCAGGGTTACACAAGGGTATGTAGTTAGTTATAGATCACGTTAAGTTTTCCCTATGCAAACTAAAGAAAAAAAACTGCAACTGTAAACAAAATACTTCCTTAACAGTAGCAAAAAAAAGTAGTACAAAGTAAAAACATGGGATGGAAAACACCAAGTTACATAAATCCATGGCATATCCTCACCTTAAAAATATTCTGTTCATTTCATTCATCACATCTCAAGACAAAGATTTATTGAAGGAAAAAGGAAAAGGATTCCAAAAATGGGTGAAATTGTTTACTAGAGACATGGAAAGATTTCCATTTGAGGACAGATGGACAAAATTAGACCCACTGAATAAAAAGGGCCAAGGCTACAATATCTTAAACACTAAAGGGAGGTCAAGAGTTCTTATGTACCTTTAACTTCCATCAATGATCTGGAAATTAATATAAAATCACTGCCAGTAAATTCTACAGATGATAGTCTGTTAAGCAACAGAAAATAATAAGGACATGACTTGAGAGGGTGCATCTACTGAAATACTCTGCATTGCTCTGTAGTGGATCCATTCAAGCAAAATGCATTTTAATACTCAAATGCAAAGCTATGCAGCTATAGGAACATAAGCCATACACATACAGAATGGGTGGTTGCATCCTGGAAAGTAATGATTTAGGGATCACAGCAGACAAGTAACTGAATATGAGCTCCAAGTGAAATGCTGCAGCAAAAAAAAGCTAATGCAGTTGCTAAATATATGGAAACAGGATGGCAGAAAGATGTTTTCATTTCTTTGCATGCCTCTGGTGAGCCAGATACTTGGTCAGGAGCAGACTTCAGTTTTAGGCCACTACGCTTTACCAGGAAACGATATAGTGTAACTGTAATGCCTCACGCAGTTTCATGGTTTGTACCGTCCTAACAGTCCCAACATCAGGTGTGGGCAAAACATGGCCTGTGGGCCGCATCTGGCCCACCAATTGATTGTATCCGGCCTGCAGTGCCGGCAAAGGTTGGAGCCAGAGCCGCTGCCACCCATAGGCCAGATAGAATCAATCTGCGAGCCCACAGGTGGCAGCTCCAGTCTCTTTTGGCATGGAGCGGGATGCTGGGCAGAAGCATCCCTGCCCACCTGGCACTGTGCAGCAGCCTGGGAGATGGAGTCCAACCCTGTGGTGCTGGGTGGGCAGGACTGTTTCTGCCTAGCATCCCTTGTGGTGCCACCAGAGGACAGAGCCCCACCTGCCCACCTGGCGTGCAGTGAGGGGGCAGAACTGAGCCTCCCACGCAAGCCGAAGTCTATCTGTGGGGGGGGAGAGGGCAGGTGGCAGGAACAGTCCCCACTACAGCTCCATAGGGCTGCAAAGGCCACAGCCCCACCTCTGGTACGACACAGCTCTCCATTCCTGCCTGCCTGTGTCAGCCAAGCTGGGCAGCACCGGTGGGGGAAGGAGGGGTGGCGGCGGCACAGAGAAAGGAGGCAGAGGAACATAGCAAGAACAAACAGCTAGAAGTTAAAGCAATACATATTCAAATTAGAAATATGGCATTCATTTAATCATGTGGGTGATTAACCAATGGAAAAAAACTACTAAGAAAAGTAGTGAATTATCCATCTCTTTAATTTGAAAACTTCCAAAGGTGTGCCCTTTCACAACACATACTTTAGCCCAAACACAAGTTATAGTTTAGTCAACCACAAACTATAATTAATAAATATTTTGAAGAATTTCAGTCTTAGAACGGATATTTGGGGCACCTCAGTACTAAGTACTGAATGTTTATTCCTTTAATTTTTTTCTCAGTCAGGATCTCATCCACAATAGAAAGATAACCTCTCCATCTAGTTTTCTTCACAACCTCTTATAAAAGGGATTTTGAC